AAAAAAAAAAAAAAAAAAAACATGGAAAAGGACAGGCAAGCATATAGGCTATAAACAATATCACAAAAGTACAAAAATTCAATTTTAACAAGAACATCATTTATTCCCATATGTAGAAATGCATACTTATTGTACTATTATATGTCAATCTCGTATTTATATTGTTTTGTTAAGTTAATGACATTACTACTCAAAAGTTAGGGCAGCCTAAGAGAAGAAGAATTAGGGTGTTCACATATGCACACACACACAGACACGCAACACATCTCTAGACTAGCAATTATGCATTCAGATACAACAGTAGAATATAAGAATTGAAGAGAGAAAACCGTACGAGATCAACCAAAGCAGCAGCCTTTTGATAGGGCGATCCATGAGCAATAGCATCTGATCTTCTATTGAACAAAGGCTTCCTTCGCCGTCCTCTTGGGCTCTCACCCAGCAAACTCACATCCATTATATTATTTTGTGTAATGTCTATTGTTATTATCCCACACACACACACACACAGAGATGAGATTTAGATTATTTTATGGCTTCTTGACTTTGATTGTCTGTGTTTTGGTGCCAAGACCAATCATTTGTCTCTATATATAACTTATAATTAAACCCTGATTTTGATAGTCATTGCTATTGAAGAGGTGGGGTGGGAGAGGAGGGAGTGTAGGTGGGGGCTACCAAACTGTCGGCATGCCATTAGAGTAGTTAGTTTAGTTATTCATACTAAATTTGTTCATCCCAATTTCTTGGTGGAAGTTTATTCACAATAAATTTCTATATCCCAATTTCTTGGGACCTCAACCCAATGTAAGACAGTTTTGTTAGGAGACACTTCCTTCTGACACATATTTTTTTATATGCCCTATCAAACAGTTTTCTATATGTCCTATCAAACAGTTTTGTTAGGAGACACTTCCTTGTGACACATATTTTTCTCTCTTAAAAAAAACGCTCGATCTCCTTTTCCCTTGTCGGTGCAAACCAAATTTCCGTCGACGCCTCCCCTTCCTCGGGAGTCGATTCCCGTGGCGGTACCGACATCAATCGTCAATCCGAGGGTCACCGTTCTCTTCTTCGTGTGGGTTCCCCCTTGTTTCCCTAAGGAGGCCATGGCAGATGCGTTTGTGGTGGTCGTCGGGCAGCTTTGTGGTAGCGGTGGGCGTTTGATCGTCTGGCGCTTGAAGCTCGCTGCTTGTTGCTCTGCGGCTTTGCCTCTTCGCCCCTGTTTCGACCGTGGAGTTGGGCTAACAGGGGCTGCGGTCGGCGCTCGCGGCGGCGAGTTGTCGCCGGCTGGTCGGGGGGAGTTTCGCTGGTGCTAGTCCGACGATGACCACCCTGGTAGGGCTTCGTCTTTGGTCCGGATCTTGATAGTTGGCCATGGAGTTTCTAGGATTTTGGGACGAGATTCGATCCCTATTGAGTAGTCATCTGGGTGTTGGCTTACTTGAGGTTGCTAGGCGAGGTCTGGCCGTTATGGAGAGGGCTTTCGTCTTATTTTATGTTTGTTTTGGTTAGTGTTTTGTACGTGCTTTTGTGTGTTTTTGGTTTTCCTTTCCCTTTCGGAGTATGTTTTTTGTCGTCACCCTTCGGTAGGAATATTTTTGTCTCCCTTGTGGAGTTTTTTTAGTCTCATAGGTGCGAGTGTTTCGGAGGGTTTCTCTGACCGTGAAGGGTCGTGTAGGAGAACACTTTCGTGTTTTCCCCGTTTGGTTTCCTTTCTAGTCTAGGCTAGTAAAGGTTATCAAGTGTAATAGGCTAGTAAAGGTTGTCAAGTGTAATATGTTGATTAATGTTTGTACTTTCGATGTGTGGTAATTTGATATTCGGCAACAAAAAAAATAAAAAAATAAATATTAATGGGCTCTTTAAATTGACATCGTTACAAAGCGAGAGAATATAATTATAAAAAATTAACATAAGATTTTAGGAGAAACATGTGAGATGTTTTGAATTCACATCATTCGAATATTCTTGTGTAATTGAACTTATTGCTTGCAGGTCACTTACAAAGGATCAAGACTAAGTAAAGGGAAGATCATCTAATTAATAAGTCTATTTATGTTTGTTTATTTATATTGAATTAAGATAAATTTGTTATTTATTTCCTTATTTATTGAAGAAACACGTTGCATGGAGGATTGGCACGCGAGACTGGGACAGAGACGTTGTCTGAGGTCTACATGGAAAGAGGATAATCGAGATATGAAGCAGTTGGAACAAGACTCTCCAAATATCACATATATCGAAAGTGGTGTTTTTTGTTGGAAAAAAATACGCTAAATTTTCTATAAAGTCGGATCTATAAAAGTGAAATAAAAGCAAAAAAATTGGACACGCCAAATTGATAACGGAGTTCGGCCAATAATGTCTACGTCTTCGGACTACTGCAGATATTTTATTGGGAGAAAAGAAATACACTCGTATTTACAAAACACTCTCAAACTCATTCACAACTCACAACTCAAAAATACACACAAAAGCTAAATTATTATTTTTTTTACTAGCCCACTCTCTCTTTTTTTTTTTCTTTCTTGTATTTTTGGTTGTGTTATGTTTCATCAGAATACCTCTATTTATAGAGGGGGAGTAATGTGAACATTGCACTCCAAATTCTCCAATTGTGTGTTGCAGGCTACTGCCTCTTTTTTTTTTATTCTTCTTTTGTTGTTGTCAAAGAAAGGATGCTGCAACCTTTCTTGACTTAACAATCTCTCACTTGAGTACTGATTTCAATATGTCCTCACACCTCAATTACTGTAGTAGTCTTCTCTGGTCTGTTACTCTAGCAAGCCAACTGAAGTTGAGCGCAACTTCAGTTTGTCAATGGTCACCACCTTCGTTAGCATATCTGCAGGGTTCTTGCTTCCTACAATGTTCTTCAAAGTTAACACTTCATCCTCAAGAAGAGATCTGATGAAATGATATCGTATGTCAATGTGCTTAGTTCTGGAGTGAAACATGGAGTTATTTGCCAGATGTATTGCACTCTGACTATCACTGTGCAAGACACTCTTTTCTTTAGAGAAACCCAACTCCGCTAACAATCCTTGAAGTCATATCAATTCTTTACTGGCTTCTGTCACTGCTACATACTCAGCCTCTGTAGTGGATAGAGCAACAATTTTTTGTATCCGCAATATCCAACTAGCAGCTGTAGCTCCGACAGTGAAAACGTAACCGGTGGTGCTTCTCCGATGATCAACTTCACCTCCGAAGTCTGCGTCTACGTAGCCCTGTGACTTTAGATATCCTTTTTCTAAAGTACAAACATTTTTCTGTTGTGTCCCGCAGATATCTCAAAATCCATTTGACTACTTCCCAAGGAGCTTTTCTTGGATTTGACATAAACCTGCTAACAACTCCCACTGCATGGCCAATGTCTAGCCTCGTGCAGACCATCGTGTATATCAAACTTTCAATGGCTGAAGCATAAGGAATTTTAGCCATGCACTCTTCTTCTTCTTCTTCTTCTTTTGTTTTAGGAGATTGATCCTTGGATAGACGGAAATGGGTGGCCAAAGGTGTACTGACTGGCTTGTCCTTGTCCATGTTAAATCTCTGCAAAATACGGTTGATGTTCTCTACCTGAGATAACTGCAAAACTCTTTTTTTCTTAGCTCTCGTGATTTACATTCCAAGGATCTTCTTTGTTGGGCCTAAATCCTTCATGTCAAATTCTTTTGACAACTGCATCTTTAATTTTCTGATGTCTTCATATCTGATCCTGCTACTAACATGTCATCAACATAAAGTAGCAAGATGATATAGTTGGACTCATATTTCTTGAAGAAACAACAGTGATCAGCATTGCACTTCTGGGAACCTTTCTTGTGCATGAAGCTTTCAAACTTCTTATATCACAGTCTTGGAGCTTGTTTCAAGTCGTACAAGCTCTTCTTCAATTTTCACACCATATCCTTCTTTCCTTCTGAAAAACCTTCAAGCTGGTGCATATACATCTCCTTATCTAGGTCTTCGTGAAGAAATGTAGTATTCACGTCTAATTGCTCTAAGTAGAGCTGTTCACTAGCCACAATACTGAACACAATCCTGATAATATTGAGCTTTACAACTGAAGCAAAGATTTCAGTATAGTCAACTCTTTCTTTCTGTTGAAATCCTTTGACAACCAGTCGGGCTTTGTATCTTCTGGAACCATCATGGTCTTACTTCACCCGATACTTCCATTTGTTTTGAAGTGTTTTCTTTCCCATAGGTAACTTGACTAATTCCCATGTCTGATTTGAGATCAAGGACTTCATCTCGTCCTTCATGGAAAGCTCACACTTGCTAGCATCTGTGGTTTGACAAGCCTCCATATAATCTTCAGGTTCTCCTCCATCAGCCAACAACATGTAGTCCATGTATCTCATGTTAGGCACATGGGGCCGAGAGGACCTTCTCAATACAGGAATTGGAGTAGAAGGTTCTGATTGCTTATCGCTTTCTTCATTTGATTCCTCTGACAGAAGATTCCTTATTATAGGAATGTCTGGGATATCTTCCACCTCTAAATAAAATGGCCCACTCGCTTCTGAGTTGCTGGCACTTGTGTTATGTCGGTCCTTGTACATCACTCTTTCATTAAAGAAGACATCTCTGCTGCGGATCATTTTTTTGTTTTCATCATCTCATATGCGGTAGCCAAACTCATCTTTACCATAACCAAGGAAAGTACATTTCTTTGATTTTTGATCAAGTTTGTTTCTACCTTGATCACTGATGTGCACATATGCTACACACCCGAAAACTCTGATATGTGAGAATTTTACTTCTTTTTCGCTCCATACCTTTTCTGGTAACTTGTAATCTAATGGTACTGATGGACTTCGGTTGATCATGTAAGTTGTTGTGTTGACTGCTTCTGCCCAGAACTGCTTAGGCCTGACTAAATACGCAAGCTTCTGGCTTTTTTAGTCAATGTTCGATTCATATGCTCAGCTACACCATTGTGTTGAGGCATACCAGGCACAGTTCTCTCCATTCTGATATCGTGCTCATAGCAAAACTTCTTGAATCTAGTGGTTATATATTCACCACCATTATCAGATTTGAGCTTCTTAATCTTCAATCCTGTCCCATTTTCCACCATAGCTTTCCAAATCTTGAAAGCTTCAAATACTTCTGACTTGTGTTTCAGAAAGTAAACCCATACCTTTTTGGAGTGATCATCGATAAAAGTCACGAAGTATTGCTTCCCACAAACGGATGGGACACTCGTTGGACCCTAAACATCAACTTGGATGAGCTCAAGCTTCTCCTTCTTTGGAGTTCTTCTATTTGTCTGAAAGCTGACTCTCTTCTGCTTTCCATGTATACAATCTTCACATATGTCAATTTCTATTGACGAAGGTATGGTAATTTTTCTTTTGAGTGCATGATTTTCATCCCTTTTCCACTCATATGCCCAAGTCTTTGGTGCCATAGATTGGGATTTTCATTTGTTGCAACTGTAAT